GTTATCAGTACCCGTTTTAGCCTTATAAACGGTGGTATTTGACATGTTAAGGTTATGATGCTTTGTTATCAGTACCCGTTTTAGCCTTATAAACGGTGGTATTTGACATGTTAAGGTTATGATGCTTTGTTATCAGTACCCGTTTTAGCCTTATAAACGGTGGTATTTGACATGTTAAGGTTATGATGCTTTGTTATCAGTACCCGTTTTAGCCTTATAAACGGTGGTATTTGACATGTTAAGGTTATGATGCTTTGTTATCAGTACCCGTTTTAGCCTTATAAACGGTGGTATTTGACATGTTAAGGTTATGATGCTTTGTTATCAGTACCCGTTTTAGCCTTATAAACGGTGGTATTTGACATGTTAAGGTTATGATGCTTTGTTATCAGTACCCGTTTTAGCCTTATAAACGGTGGTATTTGACATGTTAAGGTTATGATGCTTTGTTATCAGTACCCGTTTTAGCCTTATAAACGGTGGTATTTGACATGTTAAGGTTATGATGCTTTGTTATCAGTACCCGTTTTAGCCTTATAAACGGTGGTATTTGACATGTTAAGGTTATGATGCTTTGTTATCAGTACCCGTTTTAGCCTTATAAACGGTGGTATTTGACATGTTAAGGTTATGATGCTTTGTTATCAGTACCCGTTTTAGCCTTATAAACGGTGGTATTTGACATGTTAAGGTTATGATGCTTTGTTATCAGTACCCGTTTTAGCCTTATAAACGGTGGTATTTGACATGTTAAGGTTATGATGCTTTGTTATCAGTACCCGTTTTAGCCTTATAAACGGTGGTATTTGACATGTTAAGGTTATGATGCTTTGTTATCAGTACCCGTTTTAGCCTTATAAACGGTGGTATTTGACATGTTAAGGTTATGATGCTTTGTTATCAGTACCCGTTTTAGCCTTATAAACGGTGGTATTTGACATGTTAAGGTTATGATGCTTTGTTATCAGTACCCGTTTTAGCCTTATAAACGGTGGTATTTGACATGTTAAGGTTATGATGCTTTGTTATCAGTACCCGTTTTAGCCTTATAAACGGTGGTATTTGACATGTTAAGGTTATGATGCTTTGTTATCAGTACCCGTTTTAGCCTTATAAACGGTGGTATTTGACATGTTAAGGTTATGATGCTTTGTTATCAGTACCCGTTTTAGCCTTATAAACGGTGGTATTTGACATGTTAAGGTTATGATGCTTTGTTATCAGTACCCGTTTTAGCCTTATAAACGGTGGTATTTGACATGTTAAGGTTATGATGCTTTGTTATCAGTACCCGTTTTAGCCTTATAAACGGTGGTATTTGACATGTTAAGGTTATGATGCTTTGTTATCAGTACCCGTTTTAGCCTTATAAACGGTGGTATTTGACATGTTAAGGTTATGATGCTTTGTTATCAGTACCCGTTTTAGCCTTATAAACGGTGGTATTTGACATGTTAAGGTTATGATGCTTTGTTATCAGTACCCGTTTTAGCCTTATAAACGGTGGTATTTGACATGTTAAGGTTATGATGCTTTGTTATCAGTACCCGTTTTAGCCTTATAAACGGTGGTATTTGACATGTTAAGGTTATGATGCTTTGTTATCAGTACCCGTTTTAGCCTTATAAACGGTGGTATTTGACATGTTAAGGTTATGATGCTTTGTTATCAGTACCCGTTTTAGCCTTATAAACGGTGGTATTTGACATGTTAAGGTTATGATGCTTTGTTATCAGTACCCGTTTTAGCCTTATAAACGGTGGTATTTGACATGTTAAGGTTATGATGCTTTGTTATCAGTACCCGTTTTAGCCTTATAAACGGTGGTATTTGACATGTTAAGGTTATGATGCTTTGTTATCAGTACCCGTTTTAGCCTTATAAACGGTGGTATTTGACATGTTAAGGTTATGATGCTTTGTTATCAGTACCCGTTTTAGCCTTATAAACGGTGGTATTTGACATGTTAAGGTTATGATGCTTTGTTATCAGTACCCGTTTTAGCCTTATAAACGGTGGTATTTGACATGTTAAGGTTATGATGCTTTGTTATCAGTACCCGTTTTAGCCTTATAAACGGTGGTATTTGACATGTTAAGGTTATGATGCTTTGTTATCAGTACCCGTTTTAGCCTTATAAACGGTGGTATTTGACATGTTAAGGTTATGATGCTTTGTTATCAGTACCCGTTTTAGCCTTATAAACGGTGGTATTTGACATGTTAAGGTTATGATGCTTTGTTATCAGTACCCGTTTTAGCCTTATAAACGGTGGTATTTGACATGTTAAGGTTATGATGCTTTGTTATCAGTACCCGTTTTAGCCTTATAAACGGTGGTATTTGACATGTTAAGGTTATGATGCTTTGTTATCAGTACCCGTTTTAGCCTTATAAACGGTGGTATTTGACATGTTAAGGTTATGATGCTTTGTTATCAGTACCCGTTTTATCCTTATAAACGGTGGTATTTGACATGTTAAGGTTATGATGCTTTGTTATCAGTTCCCGTTTTAGCCTTATAAACGGTGGTATTTGATATGTTAAGGTTATGATGATTTGTTTTCAGTACCAGTTTTTAGCCTTATAAACGGTGGTATTTGGCATGTTAAGGTTATGATGCTTTGTTATCAGTACCCGTTTTTAGCCTTATAACCGGTGGTATTTGATATGGTAAGGTTATGATACTTTGTTACCAGTATCATTTTTTAGCCTTATAAACGGTGGTATTTGATATGTTAAGGTTATGATGCTTTGTTATCAGTACCCGTTTTATCCTTATAAACGGTGGTATTTGACATGTTAAGGTTATGATACTTTGTTACCAGTATCAGTTTTTAGCCTTATAAAGGGTGGTATTTGATATGGTAAGGTTATGATACTTTGTTACCAGTATCAGTTTTTAGCCTTATAAACGGTGGTATTTGATATGGTAAGGTTATGATACTTTGTTACCAGTATCATTTTTTAGCCTTATAAACGGTGGTATTTGATATGGTAAGGTTATGATGCTTTGTTACCAGTTGTTAGCCTTATAAACGGTGGTATTTGATATGGTAAGGTTATGATACTTTGTCACCAGTTGTTAGCCTTATAAACGGTGGTATTTGACATGTTAAGGTTATGATACTTTGTTATCAGTACCAGTTTTTATCCTTATAAACGGTGGTATTTGACATTTTTGGAAATTACTCATTCATTACTATTGTTTTTCTAGAGCACTCCTCAATTTTACAAATTGTGATATTCGACATTTTGGTTTATAGTAATCTACGACTATGATTAAAATTTGGCATGTATACTGTTTCATCCAGCTGTAAAATACCAAACGATGTTGCCAAAATAAACACTTATTACAAGGACTAAATAGTACCTGTGCTTTTAGGGAAATGGACGCATTCGTACAGTTGTGCTGTTTCCGGGCGGCGGAAGGATACATACGTAATTGTGAGACTAGGACAGATTCGGGCATTGATAGTAATTAGAGTATTTATGCGTTTTCACTGATCCGTACTGACTCCCGTGTTAATTGCCCCCTTCGCATCACGTGCATGAAAAATCCCCCCTCCCAAACTGCTCGAGAGCGCGCGCGTCGGAAGCTGTTTAGGGCACGGTGTTTTGCGTGCAGGTGCGGTGGCGATAGGGGGAGTTCGTGGAGGTGTGTGGTATATGTATTAAGTGTCACTAACAGTACACATACTTCTTACTATGCACTTCATCCAAGGTATTTTCATCTCATTCATTTCTGCCTTCATTCATTCGATTTAACAAAAGTTGTAAACTGACAACCCGATGGTACTTCATTTAACGACAAATACATGATCTTTACGGTACCGTCTTTTCCCTTGTTAAACCCATACTTACCATGCATATCTAATCTATTATAAGTGCAGTAACAACCACCAGTCAATTTTCATATTTTTATGGTAAGAAAAATACAACACTGACTTTGTCTGACATAGTCTGCTATGTCTCTTCAGGCGAGGTCTCGAAAATAGAGGAAAGCTGGAGGAATATTCGGGTAAACAGCACTGTGCTGTTTGTTTGTTACATACAATGTACTATAGTACGTTTTGACGGCCATTAAACTCGCAAATCAGGTTTTCGGTTATGAATTTTGCAAGCGAGGAAAAATAACACCCTTCGCGAAAAGAGCTTGCCAACAACAGGTAATCTTTTCTTTAGTTTTAGCTTTCTATGATTTAATGTCCTATCTTAGTTTTAAACATGTTCAGTGTGATTCAAACCTCTTAAAATTCCTTAAGTGACTTTGTCATTTACGAAGTCGCCCTCATTTCATGCCACTGTAGATGTTTATCACGCGTAAATTTTCAAATTGACCTGTTCTGTTTACCAACTAAAATCAATATGCTTAGGATTTAAGCTATACACAGGCTTATCATGAATAACTGAAAAGCATAAAAATAGAAATATCGTATTTTATAAATGTGAGATGCAATATATTACCTTTAAAAATCTACATGGCTTTCTCCGATTATTAAATACCGATTTGTATGTGAGGTTTCATAATTTGCCAAGTACATTGTTTTTTTTTATAAAATAATGCTATGTATGTGGCCAGTAAAGTATTGCGATATTCACATCATTCTATATATCAGTCAACACTTGTTTAGAGTAAAAAATAGTAAAAATGAACAAAATTTTGGGATTTTAAGCTTTTCTTTGTAAAATTCATTCATTGGAAATTTTGAACGGAATAACAATATGCAAAATACTGCAAGTTTTTTTTTTTTGAGATTTGCACTATGATTTACCTTTTATTAAAAATGATACAGTCCATACCATCACCGACAAACTCACAAGTCAATACCATCACCGACCAAATCACACAGTCCATACCATCACCGACCAAATCACACAGTCCATACCATCACCGACAAACTCACACAGTCCATTAAATCACCAACAAACTCACACAGTCCATGACATCACCGACAAACTCACACAGTCCATTAAATCCCCAACAAACTCACACAGTCCATGACATCACCGACAAACTCACACAGTCCATTCCATCACCGACAAACTCACACAGTCCGTACCATCACCGACAAACTCCCACAGTCCATACCATCACCGACCAAATCACACAGTCCATACCATCCCCGACAAACTCACACAGTCCATACCATCCCCGACAAACTCACACAGTCCATACCATCCCCGACAAACTCACACAGTCCATACCATCCCCAACAAACTCACACAGTCCATACCATCACATACAAGCTCACACAGTCTATACCATCACCGACAAACTCACACAGTCCGTACCATCACCGACAAACTCACACAGTCCTTACCATCACCGACAAACTCACACAGTCCTTACCATCACCGACAAACTCACACAGTCCATTCCATCACCGACAAACTCACACAGTCCGTACCATCACCGACAAACTCACACAGTCTCAGTCCATACCATCACCGACAAACTCACAAGTCAATACCATCACCGCCCAAATCACACAGTCCATACCATCACCGACCAATTCACACAGTCCATACCATCACCGACAAAAACACACAGTCCATATCATCACTGACGAAATCACACAGTCTATACCATTACCGACAAACTCACACAGTCCATACCATCACATACAAGCTCACACAGTCCATCCCATCACCGACAAACTCACACAGTCCATACCATCACCAACAAACTCACACAGTCCATACCATCACCGACCAAATCACACAGTCCATACCATCACCGACAAACTCACACGGTCCATATCATCACTGACGAAATCACACAGTCCATACCATTACCGACAAACTCACACAGTCCATACCATCACAGACAAGCTCACACAGTCCATACCATCACCGACAAACTCACACAGTCCGTACCATCACCGACAAACTCCCACAGTCCATACCATCACCGACAAAAACACACAGTCCATATCATCACTGACGAAATCACACAGTCCTTACCATTACCGACAAACTCACACAGTCCATACCATCACCAACAAACTCACACAGCCCATACCATCACCGACAAACTCACACAGTCCATAACATCACCGACAAACTCACACAGTCCATACCATCACTGACGAAATCACAGTCAATTCCATCACCAACAAATTCACACAGTCAATACCATCATCGACAAACTCACACAGTCGATACTATCACCGACAAACTCACACAGTCCATACCATCACTGACGAAATCACAGTCTATTCCATCACCAACAAATTCACACAGTCAATACCATCATCGACAAACTCACACAGTCCATACTATCACCGACAAACTCACACAGTCCATACCATCACTGACGAAATCACACAGTCCATACCATCACCGACAAACTCACACGGTCTATACCATCACCGACAAAATCACACAGTCCATACCATCCCCGACAAACTCACACAGTCCATAACATCACCGACAACCTCACACAGTCCATACCATCACCGACAAACTCACATAGTCCATACCATCACCGACAAACTCACACAGTCCATACAATCACCGACAAACTCACACAGTCAATACCATCACCGACAAAATCACACCGTCCATACCATCACCGACAAACTCACACAGTCTATCCCATCACCGACAAAATCACACAGTCCATACCATCCCCGACAAACTCACACAGTCTATACCATCACCGACAAAGTCTAACAGTCCATACCATCACTGACGAAATCACAGTCTATTCCATCACCAACAAATTCACACAGTCAATACCATCATCGACAAACTCACACAGTCCCTACTATCACCGACAAACTCACACAGTCCATACCATCACCGACGAAATCACAGTCTATTCCATCACCAACAAATTCACACAGTCAATACCATCATCGACAAACTCACACAGTCGATACTATCACCGACAAACTCACACAGTCCATACCATCACCCACAAACTCCCACAGTCCATACCATCACCGACAAACTCACACAGTCCATATCATCACTGACGAAATCACACAGTCTATACCATTACCGACAAACTCACACAGTCCATACCATCACCAACAAACGCACACAGTCCATACCATCACCGACAAACTCACATAGTCCATACCATCACCGACAAACTCACACAGTCCGTACCATCACCGACAAACTCACACAGTCCATACCAACACCAACAAACTCACACAGTCCATACCATCACCGACAAAATCACACAGTCCATACCATCACAGACAAACTCACACAGTCTATACCATCACCGACAAACTCTAACAGTCCATACCATCACTGACGAAATCACAGTCAATTCCATCACCAACAAATTCACACAGTCAATACCATCATCGACAAACTCACACAGTCGATACTATCACCGACAAACTCACACAGTCCATACCATCACTGACGAAATCACAGTCAATTCCATCACCAACAAATTCACACAGTCAATACCATCACCGACAAACTCACACAGTCCATACCATCACCGACAAACCCACCTGTTGTGAAGAGAGGAAGGAGACTAGCCTTCTACTTCAATACATAACGCAATATGTAACTATAAAGGACTATTAGACCTATCAGAAGAGTTAATTAGATTTTACATGGTAAAGCAATTGTTGGGATTATCTATTTCCTCACAACAACGCCTTGCTTCTTAAACAAATTCATAGTACAGGGATTCCTAAATGAAGGATTATCATTTTGCCATTATTGACAGGTGGTGGAATTTTCAAAACGTTTCACAAACTACTATTACTGGACTATTAATGGACATTGTGCATGACAATGCTAGAATGAGTTCAATAATTTACCAAACGTATGAAATTTGGATAGATTCAAAAGGAAGTGTGACTGTTATCTGGTCAGGAAATGTATCTAGCTTTAACGTCTTATGTACGGTACCCAGTGAGAATACGCTTCGAGAAATTCACCCACTATCAATAATGTTTCGGCAGAGGTGCTCAATATAAAAACACGTTATGGCTGGTGAAACGAAACTTTTAATTTTTGGATAACTGAAGCTCAGTTCGTGTCTATGTAACAAAACCGATTACTTTCATGTAAAGTTTGAGGAGATATTTCGTTATGCTTTGGTGACTTATTCAAATGTACTGTAATCTATCTTAAATTTAAAACGTTTCTGTCTCTTTTAGCTACACGTGATTTTGTCGGCGAGATTATGTCTGTAAGGCTTTATTTATATACGATTACTTTTCCAAATATAAATACAATCAAGCCTTGATGATTAGCTGTACAATATGTTATACCAAATAACAAAATAATAGAAAAATCATGAATGCTCATCTAATCATCACGACCGTCAAATCCGTTTTCATAAGTCATAGTATATTGTAAAAACAATCCGGTATATGCTTTACATTTCATGGTTTGTGCATCACTGCAGTACGACCGAGTATAGATTCATTGTACTACTGGAATGGTCTTTTAGTTTAAACATTCAGAAAAGCAATTAAGTAAATTCAAAGACACGTTATAACGTGCTTAAACATTTCATAGGACTAATGCTCACAGCATGACTTTTTGTTTTTCATAAAATTGACAGCTAGTCTGAAACTTACCTCGTGTCATTGCCCTCTTTTCTCTAAATTCACAACCAAAAGTAATATCACCAAATAGTTTATGCAGCAGATACAGTTAATTATATGGTCGATTTGACACTTATAAGATAGATAAAGTAACTCAGGCAATTTATTTACCAACCAGTTTCACATATTGGGAGTTATTTCCCCTGTCTACTTTGTGGTAAAATTTCAACAGGCCAACTATACGTTTATTCAAGGAACAGTGTCGGTCATATATTTCATTGAATCATATAATATAACAGGTATGTTTTATATGTTTTACCTGATATTATACATACTTTTCTATATAGGTTATCTGATGTATTACATAAGAAATAAGAATTATGTTGTAGTTCAATATTTTATAATACCAAAGATCACTACCTAGCAAGTGTTTAACATACAGCGTATTTATATGGAGCAAATAAACGTGGTAGAGAGGAAAACATGTAACTTTATATGGGAAAATAGACCACACTGTGTTAAACTATGTGTAATGGTAAATGAGAAGTCCGGTTGAGGTTCATAGACGTTTTGAATTATCATGGTTATTAAGATTATTATCTTCTGCAGACACCAGTTGGAAAGAGATCCCAAACTATTTTTTAAGTATCTCTAAGTTACTTATCCTTTTGCGTATATCACCGGGATGCTTAGTAATCTTCCAAAAAGTGACATGCAACAATTTTACATGGGTTTGTTGAAGTCCTGACTAAAATCGAGAGAGAGAAAATGTGTGAATGATTATAATGATTCACAGTTATTTAAAAGTTATAATTTTTGGGAAATACGTGTATCAAAATTTACGGAGTTTGAGTGATCTTTAGAAACAGAATCAAATCTGGACCTATTTTTATAGATGATATTATAGGTTATAAAGTCCTTTTGATGAAAATGATTCTTATCGAAAGTTAAACGAAATAGGATAAGCGAAAAGAAAAAGTTAAAAATGCAGTTCCAGTAAATAGAGACAGTGATACGGTCAATGTTCGAATGAAAAAGAATATTGTTTTTTTGACAATTAGTGAATGATTCAATTGATAAGGGAATAGTACCTACCTTTATTAGACACAAACACACTCGGTCATATAATTGTAGAGGTAAATGGGAGAACATTATTCAGTTGGAAAACACTGGGGTAGTTGATTGTACCTCATTTGACTTTAAGATTTTCTTAGAGAATGACGAACGAATGTTCAAGTATTAAATATTATTGACAACTATTGTTGATAGATGTAATTTAAAAGGTTATATGCATAACTTAACCAAATGCAAGTCCCAATTTACAGGAATTATACTTTTTACAAGATATTGCTAACTACAGTCATGAGTAAAATATTCCTTTATGTCTTACAAAATTTCTAATGTGTACACCAAAAAACAAATAATTAAAAATATAGTAAAATGATGATGATGAAGGTTATAGGTGGTAAGCAGCAATAATACGACTAATACACCACTTTTCTATTACAACCATACATTATGATGTGCTGTAGTGGTGAGTCAAAAGATATATTAACTATGGCAATGGTTAGGACATGTGATTAAATTGTGCGAATGAAAGGACGTCATGACATTCGCGCTCAAAGATAGTGATAGCCATGAGTTATTGTGATTGTGTGTGCAAGAAGATCGACAAGAGCTGTGACAAATCGCGCATACTAGAATCTACCTATAGTGTGGTGAGACTAGAATCTACCTATAGTGTGGTGAGATGTGAGTAGTTAAATTAAAAGGACATAATAAGTATGGTGTGAAAAAAGGGTAAGTCAAAAGTACGATATGAATTTGAATGCAATGGATTAAACTAAGAGAAATGAAAATGACTGCTAATAGGTCTATGAACTAGCATACACCGTACATTACATTTTACGTGGAAAGTTGCAATTAAGATAAATGTCGTACTGTAAGCATGAGTTTGAACACTTGTATGAAAGAATGCGAGTGAGATATCAATTAATTAATGATGATGTACATTGTGACCGTGACATAACAGTGGAGCCATGTCTGAGCACAGAAAATAAATGTAATGTAAACGGGAACTGTCCGAGTTGATTGTAAAACTCACCCGCTAACAAACGGAGTATGTTATCTCCCTTAGACCGGACAGCTTTTGCGTAGTTAATGGGAGATAACTCGTGTTGTCATAGTGTAAAAAGCGACATGGAAAGTCTAACAACAAAAACAAAAGCAATTATTTTAGGATATAATACTTCTTTATGGATGTCGAAGACTCGATATAAATATGGATATAAGGATTCTGGAGATGGTTCAGAGATTAATTAAAGATACTAGACGCTTTTACTAGATTACACTTATTTGTTTATCTATTTTCACATGACATCGCTGTGAAGAATGATACCAGCACATAATTGTACTAAGTGCTGTCTACCAGCATTATTTGCCAATTTTTGTATAATCTAGTTCCTGCAACAACAACAACAAAATCATGACATTCAATTATCAATATGTATATATGTCTGATCA